TTGGAATATGGGAAGCCTAAGATGTTTAATGAAAAATAAATGCCAGAACCGTGTTCCTGGTCATCCAATCTATAAAGTCGGGCACAATATAACTGGTTTTAACAACATTTTAGAAGGTGGGATAGTTCCTTTAAGGACCCTACGTTGTTAGGGACATAAGAAACATGTGTTGCGGCCCTCAGAGGGACACGTGAGTTGTGACCCCTCAGATGCCGGGTTGGGGTTTAGTAAAGTCTGTCGCCTCAAAAGTTCGGCTGAACTATCATAGGCCAGTTAAGGTTTTCAGAAATTCTCGAAGGCATCCTCAAAGATTCGTGTGGCCCTTCAGAGGTCTACGAATGTATAATGTCCTCAAAGATCCCTGTATGGGCCCTCTGGAGAACATGGACACCAGTGGGACTCTCAGAGGCCGGTTTGGGCCCTCCGAAAGCTTCTTAGAGCTCAGTGGAGCTTCTTAGGAGCCTGTGTGAAAAGCAGGCTCATGAGCCCTGCGGCACTTGAACGGTACTTGTGCCTGTCGCAGACATTTGACGAGAGTTGAGAAAGGCCCCGAAGATTTCGTGTCACGCTTTGAACGAAAATTATGTGTCAGCACTCCAAAATTTATGAAAATCAGCTACAAAATGTAATACAGAACCAACTAGGAACATGGCATGAATCATGGCATTGACATTTCCGAGTCTGGAGTCGGAGTCTTGAAGATTTTGGCGACTGCGACTCTGACTTTGGTTTGAACTGCACGCTCCAACAGAGTCTGACCTCACAGGCATTCTCAGAAAGGTACCCCCATTTTTCCCCGACTCCAAAATCTCATCGGATCTGTATCGATCTCAGGGGGTGCCCGGTCCGAGGTTGGGGGGGCAAGCTGCCCCGCTTGCCCCCGCCCCCCGTGGCGACGCTAATGGGGTCCTTAGAGACTGCCATTCAGTCACTGTGATTAGAGTGTGACCTAACTTGACCTGAAAATGGATATAAAAATGCTGCACTTGAATCACAGGTCAGGTTATGGGGACCCTGTAAGACTTGTGACTTGTAGATGTCCTATCTCTACCAACCTGCATTCAGAGCCCTGTGCAGATTATTGCAGATTACCTCAAAACGGTGTGAGGCTGCTTAGACTAGTATGGTGCTCGAAAGACCGGCTTGGACCCCCCCCCCCCCCCTCCCCTCAGCACTATCGGTATCGGGTGACCTCACATGGTAAAGGGATTCTCAGATTGATTTGAAGTTCTTTTGGGGCGGGTATTCATGTGTCTAGGAGGTGTCCTGCAAGCTGGACCCCTCTCACGAAATTATAGCCCAATCCTAGCATGCTTAGCTAATCCTATAGCAATCTTAAACGCATTTATAGTAATAACAAAATGGTAGAATAATGACACTCCCATACATATAGGTCGGCGAGTGTTGCTATATGTAGGCGAGTGTACCTGTGTGTGTGTCACAACATTTTAAGGGTTCCTTACATTTCTAGATCTTGAATTCCTTATTCTTGCGACTGTCAACACATCCTGAAAAATTCAACACCTTCTGTGAATAATTTAGTCATTCTTACGCGAAAACAAGCTTATAAGTATTCGGAATATTGGGGGGTACTGTACCCCCCAGGTAAATTATTGAGGGGGTCCGGCCCCCGCGTACCCCCCTGTGGCGGAGCCCCTGTGTATGAGCGACAGTCTCCTCACAAGAGTAATTTAGATCCAAATATGACCTTCCATCGATAAGCATCGAAGCGCAGCTCATCTCATTAGATTTCCTGCTCTAATAATCCATGGTGTATTGGCTTCACTCACACACTAATTTTCGCGTGCTTGATATTACCAATTATGAGGCGGTCGATCTATTGGGTCATCTCGTGCAATAAGAGTCGATTGGAGTCACGACAGCTCCGTCAAAGCTGTACAAAGTTCGGTCTGGTCCGGCATGCTAGTCGAAATGTGAGAAAATCTGTTACAATTGTCTGCCCACAATACCTAATCAATAAACAAGCTGTTACGTCATGCAGTCAACGTAAAATTCTAAGCGAGTATCTCTATCAAACTTACGAGGATATTTCTCGTATTAGAAAGATTTCTTGATTGAGATAAAACAAGCTAAATGAGTAAGATCCGTTGGCTGAAATATCATTTTAACATGTTTGGGAGGGGCAGGGCAATTTAACACATTTCATGTGTCGAGAAGCGGTCATATATTTTCTATCTTCATCTCATATTTAACTCAACATCATGCTCCTTGGATGAACGTTACAACCTATTGCTTGATGCATACTGCGTAATTTAGGTGAAGTTTACAAATACCTAAGTTGAATAGTTCTGTTATCACTCATCCTTAAGCACAATGGAGACCATTTTTACTGTTTAATTACATTTCGCTACCTTTCGCATCATTCACTAATAGTATAGCGAATATAACCGTGTTTACATAGGGTTCCCTTAATCTTCCCCTATTTGTCTCTTAAATGTCCCTTATAAAGGAATCCTCTGTCTCCTTTACCTCGCTTCACTACAAATATGGCGCAACTAAGTCATTTTAGAAGATTTTAGAAGAGTTTTTAGAAGCAGTTTGCAATTATTACTTACCTTTAGGGCTCTCCCAAATAGCTTCCAGACTAGACACTGAGGTAAAAGTGATAGCACATGAAAGCTCAAAGCAAGAAAAATCAGAAAACTATCTGGCATCTAACATACTTTAAACGGCTGAGCTATTATTCAAGTAGGTGTAATCACATCCACGGCAATATCAGAACACCGCACCTGTCGAATTTCCGCCCTCACTTTCTGCCGTTTATGCGTTAATGCCACTTAAAAATCCTCAGTCGGCGCACGTGCGCTTGTCGAGTCGGGGACCACCAGTCGGACGATTCGGAACTGCCGGCCAATCAGCACGCCGCTTTTGTGATGTAGTAGTTTGAGAACCACTGGATATGGTAGCGTAGCAGCTTTTGGAAAGGCGCTACGCTACCAAATCCTCCCCTATTTGTCGCTTAAAGAGGGAATTGAAGGGCAGGATAAAATTACTTCAAAATATGAATTGTTGAATTTCGAGTATTAAATAAGCCCAATTTATATTGTTTACAGCATAAACGATGCTTAGTATGCTTCTAACAACAATAGCGTCCATAGCAACGTTACACGCGAGCGCTATGATGCCTAAAATTCGATCTGAAAATAGGGGAGAATAATAGGGGAAGATTAAGGGAACCCTATGTAAACACGACTTATGTTACGCATACGTTTACTCAGTATCGTACTTCAGTAAGTATTTCCATAGATGTACCTATAAAATTATTTGCGATCTGTATGAAAATGTAGGGAGCATGTCAGTCGAAATACCTACTGGCTTATTTTTTCACACTTTAGGTTTTCATTGAAAGACAAAGTCAACAGTATACAAAATAAATGAGCCCACAATGAAAGCTTTGACGTAGTAAGAGTTATAATGAGGCTTAACGCGTATATAGGTATTTCATCATCAGAAGGGAAAATAACTTATTCATCAGACAATAGGTACTGTGCAGTGGATGATGGGACAATAACGGCATTAGATGTTTCCAGAGTCGACGATTGTGCACTTAGGTGCCTAAACGTCACATTCGCTGGCCTGCTATATAGTCATGCAGTGAATGGTTCTGGGACAATCAGTGTTATCCTTGCATCCGAGCGCAAAGGCTGGGTTGTGTGATCGGTTGTGTGGCTGGGTTGTTGTGTTGAATGCTGGTAGCCTTGCGACTTGGGAGCCCGTTCGTCTGGTGCAGCATAGGTATGTATGTTACAGGGAGTTTGAGAAATCCGTGAGTTTGCAAACTCCCTAGTGAGTTTGCAAACTCCCTGACCCATCAGTGAGTTTGCAAACTCACTAGGGAGTTTACAAATTCACTAGGGAGTTTGCAAACTCACTGACCGGTCAGGGAGTTTGAGAAATTTCAGAGTGATTGGGCCAAATAAAAACAAGTGTGCAGCATGTGGTCCACCCTCAACTAAGCAGTGTAGATGTATTAAGTGTACCGGGTGCCTTCGCTAAGCGGTGCTCGTTGCAAATGACGCCACGGACCCACCACCTAACCTGCGCCCGCGTCCGGTTCCACGTTGAGAATTTTAATGGAAAGTTTGAACGTAGCGCAAGTACAGTAGACGGCGACACGGTCCTCCCAGGTCTAGGTGGTCCTCTCTTGCCAGTTACCAGCTGACTGGATGTAGGAAAGCGGGTCAAATAACATCGAGCTCCGTAGTCACGACCTCGCTGCCATTGAGCTACGAGACGGACACCTTTATCCACCGGGTCACACGGAGGACAAACTGTTTCTGTATCTTTCAAAATATTAAATATTCATGGCCTGGAGGACGCTTGCAAACATTAACACTGTTTAATGAAACTGTTGTGGCGTTTTGAGCTAAATGTTTTCAAAATTGTTTTAAGGCAGTTTTTATTTGAAAGTTTGTGAGACGATTTGATCTTAAAAACTATACGATTGGACCATGCCATTAGAACACCATTATATTGCGAAATAAAGAACCTAGATCGACAAATAAATACGCTGAACACTGTGCAACTGTGTTTGCCATACTGGGAAGTGGGATTTCATGCAGAGGTCTGTAATGGGGGCCCTATCGGAGGAGCCACTAGCCTCTCTCGCCGGCGTCTCCCAATCGTAGCCATAAAGAACCTAATCTGAATTCGGCTGGCGATCGTAGGGCCGGGGGCAGTCAGACATTCGTTATGAATTTATGCGAGCGGTCGGCCATTTCATTTCCAGCCACCGATGAAATCCGCGCCGGGAGGCGGCGTCCAACGATGCGATTAACGCCGTCTGTCCGGGCCGCCGCGGCGACTGTCGGCCACAGCGGGACAGACAGGGCTGGTTCTGACGGTCAGACGAGCACGGGAACCACGGGAGAGAAGAAAGTGACTTCTTTGAATTGTCGCTGTGCCTATGTGGTGACTCTCAAACTCACTGCAGACGACACTCTCTGTTCCGGTCGGCTCTGCTCAGTAAAACGCACACCTGGCGCTCGATGATGATATATTATGTCGTGGATGATGCAGATGATACAGGAGGCGCCGCCAATGCTGGTGGACCCGGTCGACAGAGCATCGGCCACCTAGCGGCGACCGCAGCAGCCGGCAGTTCATCAAACTGCTGCTGTGGCGCTACTGTCGCCGGGCCACCTGCCTCGGGTTCGCGTCCCGCCCTTTTTGTCGGTGTAACAATCCACGCAACACGCTACTGATGAAAAGCCCGCGCGGCAGCGGTCTCGAGGCCGCCAATACAGAAACAGAAAGAAAGAAAATATTAACGCATTACACTACGGTTCGCTACGCTCCACTCGCACTGCGCCGGCGTTCTCCATTTTTACATCTCTCGGAAAACAAGTGACGGAAACGAAGAAAAATGAGGTCTGGAATACAGTATGAAGACGAGCGTGGAGCCGTCTCCCGCGTAGGACGTCAGCGACCTTGTCGGTCCTCGGAGAGCTCTATTGGGTCGGCTGGATGGAGCCCTCCTACCCTCTCTCTCTCTCTCAGCCGGACCTGCGAGCGTTCCCTGCCCTCTGTCCTCCACCTCTGTCTCTGTCCCCGCCGGTCGGGGGTCGGGCAGAGCTGCGGGGTATCCGCCCACTGCCGCTCGCCGCCGCGCCGGCCCCTGGCAGTTCTCAGTCCTCGTGTGTGCGCGCCGCACCGCCGCTCACTCGTCGTCCTCCTGTTCGGACTGCGCACGCGGCGTGGTCTCCTCCTCGGCGAGGTCGGAGGCGCCGTCGTCGGCTCCTGCCGACACCTCTGGCACGTCGGAGATGACCTCCTCGGCGCCGTCCGACGGGGGCGGCACGGGGGAAGCCGACGGCGACTTGGCGCCCATCTCAGCCAGGCTGCCCTGTGGGAGCGGGTGGAGGTCAGCAGAGCAGCAGCTGGACAAAGGTCGGGTGGTGGAGTCAGGGAGTACATCAGGAGAGCGTCAGCTGGGCAGACCTCAGCGCACGGCGGTTAGGTGTTCAACAGACGTCAGGCGAGTGAACAGCATGAGGTGGAATAGAGGGATGTCAGGTGGATAGACGTAGTAGACCTCATTGGTGAACGAACGTCCACTGATTTGAAGCGCGGAAAGACGGATGTCAGAGGATCGCATGTCAGAAGAACGCTAGGAAAATTGTCCTCATCGATGTCACGAGGAACCTTACAAACGCCATGCAGTCAGATGAAGGGAAAATGATTTGGTCAAACAACATATTGAGACGGGGATGTCTAGACGCGTTATGGAAAAGGGAAAGATGATATAGAAAAGGATATGTGCGATGAGGTAACGTGAAAGGACAATAAGTGGTAATGCGTCTTGTTGCAGGGCTGTAAACGACTGGCATTAATGGGGCGAAAAGCTGAATGGATTTCGATGTAAACCTGGTGCCTTCCTCTGAAGGCAAAGGAATTTTGGAAAGCTGTGAGGTTTCGGAAGACAATTTTTTAATGATGGCACAGACGCAAATGATGATTAGCTAAATCTTATTGGGTCTTTTGAGCCGTGGACGGAGCTCATTCTATAATGTTGGTATGAACTGGAATGTTGAATCGTTTCCGCGTGCTTGAAGGCAACCCTCCTCAAATTGACCACACCTTTGTTGTCTCATTCAATTGATTATTTATCTCGGGCTGCTGTGTGTTGACTATTGAATGCAATGGCGTAACATCTCTCCCGTTTCCAGAGGCAGCAAAGCACTAGATTGGGTGGCGCAGGCGAATTATACACATCTAATAGACATCTAGCATGCGTCTCTCAGCCGGGGGCGCCCGGCGGCGACACGCTGGCTGGTCACTCCGGCAGGTCACATTGCTGACGTCATCCCCAGCGGGTGACGTCACAGCGCATACCAGGACACACCTCTGACGTCAAAGTCTAATAAAGCAGCAGTGCGCGACACCGAACAGCGATACGAATACACATCTATAGCGTCGTGGTCTACTGAAGCGACATGAAGCGTCCTATGCATCACGGTTATTTGTTCATTTTGCAGTCTGTAAGGGAGATTAATGGGCTGGACTGATGGGGAAGGCCCGGGACACCGGGAAAACTCTGCGCGGGAAGTTCGGATGTCACGCATATGGCCTACCCACAGCTGGAAAGCATGTGAACGGCCTGATAACGTTATCATTCTCACCGCAGGTCCGACTGAACTGCTAGGTTAGGTGGTCCTCCCAGGTCAGGCAAGTGACAACTCTGGTAAGAACTGCCACGTGACTAGAAATCGCCAGCGCACTCAGCAGCTCGGCACCGAAAAGTTCGCAGGCGATTATTGTTGCGCAAACCAAATGGGTGACGTTATACACATTTCACTCGATATGTAGGCGAAGTATCTATACTCGAGGGCAGCGCTTTTCGAGGAGCGCTGTGGCCCGAAGGTTTGAACTTTGAATTGTGAAAAACGCCCGCCCGCCGCAAAACGCAAACACCGCAAAACGCACGCCCGAAACGCCAACGCAAAGGTCGCAAAAATAAACAAACGCCCGCCGCAAACCGCAAATAAAAAAACGCAAAAACGCCGCAAAACAATAAAACCGCCCGCATCGCACGCCCGCTAACCGCCAACCGAAAACGCCTGAAAATCGCCCGCCCGCCGCCAAAAAAAAAGCACCGCAAAAAAACGAAAAAGCGGCCGCCAACCGCAAACAAATTTAACACCGCAAACGACGCAAAAAAAAAAAAACGCCCGCATCGCCCGCCCGCCCGCCCGCCGCCAAAGACAAACACCGCAAAAAACACAAAACGCCCGCCCGCCGCAAAACGTAAACACCGCAAAACGTGTAAAACGCACGCCCGAAAAGCCAACGCAAACGGCAAAAAAATCGCCCGACCGCCGCAAACCACACAGAAAAAAACGCCGAAACGCCGAAAAAATAAAACCGCCCGCACCGCACCGACGCTAACTGCTAACCGAAAACGACTAAAAGTCGCCCGCCAGCCGCCAAACGCAAACACCGCAAATAAGCGCCCGGCCGCAGCAAGATAATAATTTATCAGCGGCTGGCATACCGCTAGGCTGGTCATTTTCACAAATCAAAAAGATATCTGCAAAAATCTCCTAGATGAAAGCGCCCGATTAAAAAACGGATGGCACGTGCGTGTTCCTCGCCCCCAACTTCCTTCAGGTCAATCGTCATTTGGGTCATCTAACGCATTGACGTATCTGCAAAAATCTCCTAGATGAAAGCGCCCGATTAAAAAACGGATGGCACGTGCGTGTTCCTCGCCCCCAACTTCCTTCAGGTCAATCGTCATTTGGGTCATCTAACGCATTGACGACCGGCTGGGTGGAATGAACATTGCGCCAAGAAACGTAAGTATATTGTCAAAAAGAATCCCCAGAATGGTGGATCCCAAAAGTTTGAAACTACCCCTTTGACCCACTGGACGATACCTTAAACAGTTGCCGACCGGATGACACCCATTGTTTGGTCACCCACGCCATAGTATGCATCATGGGTGCGCCGAAATGACCAAAAGTCCCAATTTCCGGTGTGCAGGGTCATTTTCAACGGCACGTGGCACGTGGTTCTGGACTTTTCCGGCCACTTTGCGACATACCCATGGGTAGTGCACCGAATGGTGGTTGATCCGCATGTAAGAAAATGGGGGGTCGTTTGGATCGTTTTCGAGCAATCTGCCGTGGAACGCATTTTTTCATTTTCCCCATTGGCTTAACACGGGAATTTTTAAAGTCACGTGGCACGTGCACCAGATGGTCCGCGGAGGGGAGACCCATACCAGAACGTAGATCACCTGGCCCACTAGAAATCCTGAAAAAATCAGAAGTTTTGGACCAGCCGTTTTCAAGAGCATCAAGTTGTACTGATCTCAGGCAGCTTTTGCCAAATTGTCAGGGAACTCAGATTTGTTTTTCAATAGAAAAACACAATTCTAAAGAATAGTGTTTTAACTATTGACAACAAACCTTCGGTTACCGGCATCTGCGATGCCGGGCTCCGCATCGCGGGACCGCAGGTTGTTTGAGCAAGCACCTTTGTAAACGCAGCAAAAACGCCCGCCACCAAACGAGAGGATGAGCCTTGCACGTGCAGACCGGAGTCGGTGTGCTACGGACTGACGTGCACGGCACCCTATTCGTCGGTCTATAGCGGTGTGCCAAATTTGAGTGCAATCGACCCGGCCGTTTTCGAGATCTGGAAGCGACACCCTGCACGTGCGCACGTGCAGCCTGGGCCCCAATTGACTTGTGCACGGCACTCTATTCGCCGGTTTCTAGCGGTGTACCAAATTGGAGCTCGATCGGCCCCGTCAATTTCAAGATCTGGAAGCGACCCCTACACGTGCGCTCGTGCAGCTGCACCCCAACCGTGGCACATGAAAATACATACTAACTGACTTGTGCACGGCACCCTACTAACCAGTCTCTAGCGGTATGCCAAATTTGAGCACAGTCGGCCCAGCCGTTCTTGAGATCTGGAAGCGTCAGCCTGCACGTGCGCACGTGCATAACGGGTCCCATCTGACTTGTGCACGGCACCTTGCTTACCAGCCTCTAGCGGTGTGCCAAGTTTGATCACAATCGCCCCAGCCGTTCTCGAGATCTGGAAGCGTCACCCTGCCCGTGCGCACGTGCAGCGGCACCCCAACCGTGACACATGGAAATGCATTGCGCGGCGGGTGCCTACATCCATGCCAAGGATCAGCGCAATCGGCAAAATAACTACAGAGTTATTACACTTGCTACCGAACTGACACTTCTTCGTTTTGCTCGTGGCACGTGCATTAGGGGGTCACCCATATGCATCGAGAACAGCACACTACGTGTAAGAAAGGAAGAAGCTATCCCACACAAAAGACAGCGAGTGAAGCGGTCAAGCGGTTGTGGAGATATAACCTTTGCAAAGGCGCCCCCACAACGGCCGACTGCTAATATTTAGCAATAATCAGTGTCGCATCCGCACACGGGAGGTATCGCCGTCACCTGTTCGCATAGTCTAATGTGGTTGGGTTCAAGTCACAGTCGAGCCCTGATTTTTTACAGCTTTTCTTAAAAACGGCACATCGTGCAGTGACGTTCTATACATTGTTGGAAAGAGCATCAGAAGTTGTATATTATATCAACTTTTCATTTATATGTCTTACTAAAGATAAAAGTTATAGAGGAATAAAGACGCTCCCATTGACTTTCCATGTAAAAAATTTTCATTTTCCAACGAACTTTATTAGAAAAAACGATTTCTGCCAGCCTAACGAAGCATACCAGCATGTACTACGCTCTTTCCTGTACAAGCTATAAGAGTTTGGGCAAATTCTATCTCTAAAATTTTGTACAATGAACGAATGAAAATGTCTCTGCAAAGTCTCGGCATCGCCGTCCATTGACTTAACATGGGACACAGCAAAATTCCAACTTTGACCTTGTGCATAGAGGTGTTCCGAGATTCTGGCGGGTATACGGCGCACACTGGCGTGTACCGGAACGTGTTTGCCATAAAATGCTGAGAAGAAAACCACCTCTTCCTTGGCTCGTTTTCCCGCCATTCGCGATCGCGCAAAAAGTGTCCGAACTCCCGTTGACTTAACATGGGGAAAATGGAATCGCACGTGCCACGTGCCACGAGATTCTGAAGGGTATACGGCGCACACGGGCGTGTACCTGAACGTGTTTGCCATAAAATGCTGGGAAGAAAACCACCTCCTTCTTGGCTCGTTTTTCCGCTATTGGCGATCGCGCAAAAAGTGTCCAAAACCCCATTGACTTAACATGGGGAAAATGGAATCGCACGTGCCACGCGCAAAAGACTTTTTAGCGAGTAGCGACCGGTGCCATCAGTTAGATCGCCTCCGGGAGCCCATACACTGAACTTTTTACCAAGATTGAGCGATTCGTTTAGGCC